GTTAGAGTTGACAACAGGGCAGAAAACTTCTGTTTCCTTCTGACTCAAAGTTAAAGATTTGATTAAATGAATTTAAAAAATATATATATATAAAACAGTTTGTGTCCATGACCTAAATATCTTTATAACCCTAACTCTAACTATGTCTAACTATGTCTAACTCTAACTATCTCTAACTCTAACTATCTCTAACTATGTCTAACTCTAACTATCTCTATCTCTATCTCTACCTCTATATATTTAAGAAACGGATCCTTCACTGTTTTTATTTCTGACCCGTCTTTCTAATGCTCTGGAGCCACAGACCACTAGGGGCGCTATAGCAGCCGCAGGAGGTGCACAGAAGAAGGAGCCGCAGGAGGTGCACAGAAGAAGGAGCCGCAGGAGGTGCACAGAAGAAGGAGCCGCAGGAGGTGCACAGAAGAAGGAGCCGCAGGAGGTGCACAGAAGAAGGAGCAGCAGGAGGTGCACAGAAGAAGGAGCCGCAGGAGGTGCACAGTCACAAATCCACCTGTTTCTGCGTCAGGTCCATTATGTTCATCTCTAACATTAAGATCTAAGGATAGATCTAAACTCTATCTCACTCCAGTAAAACTAGGTTTGGAAAAACCCTCAAAGTACCATCATGCACCAGTGACTCCAGAGAGAGTCACTAGTGACACTTGGAGAGGGGTGAAGGGGAAGAATGGTCCCCCTGATCTGAACCCGAGCGGTGTTCAGTTGTTGGACTTCTGCCAGTCACAGTTTGTCCATCACCAACACCATGTTCCAGCACAAGGGTGTCCACCAGGGGGCACCAGGACCTGAGGCCGGAGGTCGATGATCCACTTTGTTGTCGTATCATCTGACCTTCAGCCACGTGTCTCGGACAGGGGCGGAGCTAAAGAGAGGGGCGGAGCTAAAGAGAGGGGCGGAGCTGTCAACCGATCATCACCTGGTCGTGAGTTGGATCCGCTGGCAGGGGAGGAAGCCGGTCAGACCTGGCAGACCCAAGCGTATAGTGAGGGTCTGCTGGGAACGTCTCGCTGAGCCCCCTGTCAGACGGACTTTCAACTCACACCTCCGGGAGAGTTTCTCCCAGGTCCCGGTGGAGGAGGGGGACATCGAGTCCGGGTGGACCATGTTCTCTTCCTCTATTGCCGATGCGGCGGCTCGTAGCTGTGGTCGCAAGGTCTCTGGTGCTGGTCCCGGCGGCAATCCCCGAACCCGGTGGTGGACACCGGCAGTAAGGGATGCTGTCAGGCTGAAGAAGGAGTCCTATCGAGCCATGATGGTTCGGGGGACTCCTGAGGCAGCTGTCCAGTACCGGCAGGCCAAGCGTGCCGCGGCCCGGGCTGTTGCAGAGGCAAAAACCCGGGACTGGGAGGAGTTCGGAGAGTCCATGGACTATCGGTCGGCCTCGAAGAGATTCTGGCAAACCGTCCGGCGCCTCAGGAGGGGGAAGCAGTTCTTTGCCAACACCATGTACGGTGCGGGTGGAGAGCTGCTGACCTCGACTGGGGATATTGTCGGGCGGTGGAAGGAATACTTCGAGGTTCTCCTCAATCCCCCCGTCACGTCCTCCGTTCAGGAGGCAGAGGCTGAGGATGTTGGGGCGGATACTTCCATCTCCCTGGCAGAGGTCACCAAAGGGGGTTGGCAGCCTCCATGGTGGCAAGGCCCCGGGAGTGGATGAGATCCGTCCTGACTCTAAAGTCTCTGGATGTTGTAGGACTGTCTCTGACACGTCTCTGCAGCATCGCGTGGCGATCGGGGGCGGTGCCAAGGGAGTGGCAGACCGGGGTGGGGGTCCCTCTCTACAAGAAGGGGGACCGGAGGGTGTGTTCCAACTAGAAATGGTACAATGGCTGAAGCCATCGTGAGTGGCTGCATAGATGTTGGAAGGGTTAGGGATGAAGAAGGAAGAGGAAGGAAGAACTTGAAAGAAATGAAAGAAGAAGGAAGAAGAAAGAAAAGGGAAGAAGAGAAAAGAAGAGGAAGAAGAGGAGGAAGAGGAAGAAGGGGAATAAGGAGGAAGAAGAGGAAGAAGAGGAAGAAGGGTAAGAATAGGAAGAAGGGGAAGAAGGAGGAAGAAGAGGAAGAAGAGGAGGAAGAGGAAGAAGGGGAATAAGGGGAAGAAGAGGAAGAAGGGGAAGAAGGAGGAAGAAGAGGAATAAGGAGGAAGAAGGGGAAGAAGAGGAAGAAGAGGAAGAAGAGGAAGTAAGAAGAATGTATTGTATCTGTGGTAATGAATTGTTAGTGTGGTAATGTGTTGTATGGGGAGTAATCTGTTGTACTGGTCCAATGTAAGTCAATGGGAAAAAGTGCTTAAACTTTTGTAAATATTTGAAAAAGTGCTAAAGGTGGAAGTGTGAAAAGTAATAGCAATAATGAGACGGTGAAGCCGGTCGTAACGATGTATAATTTGTTAAATTTGGTGAAAGCGTTGAAGAGTTGAAAAGTGCCAAAATCTGGCGGAAGCCGGAAGAAAAAGAAAAAGAAGAAGAAGAAGAAGAAGAAGAAACAGTAGGATAGTATATAGTGCATAGTACTATGCAGCCACTCAATTATCGTGGGATCACACTCCTCAGCCTCCCCGGTAAGGTCTACTCCAAGGTACTGGAGAGGAGGCTACGGCCGATGGTCGAATCTCGGATCCAGGAGGAGCAGTGTGGTTTTTGTCCCGGGCCGTGGAACACTGGACCAGCTCTATACTCTCCATCGGATACTCGAGGGTTCATGGGAGTTCACCCAACCTGTCCACATGTGCTTTGTGGATTTGGAGAAGGCGTTCGACCGTGTTCCCCGGGGTGTCCTTTGGGGGGTTCTCTGGGAGTATGGGGTGTTCCGGGCAAGTCCCAACGGGAGGAGGCCCCGGGGAAGACCCAGGACACGCTGGAAGGACTATGTCTCTCAGCTGGCCTGGGAACGCCTTGGGGTCCCCCCGGACGAGCTGGAGGAAGTGTGTGTGGATAGGGAAGTCTGAGCGTCTCTGCTTAGACTGCTGCCCCCGCGACCCGGCAACGGATGAAGCGGAAGATAATGGATGGATGGGCCTCTCTGGTTTAAAGATATGTGAAAACTAGTGATGAAGACAAACTGTTTTAATACTGAGTTACTCTGTGGTTATAAAGTTAGGTACCCCAGCTTTAACACATGTGTCTCTGAAAGCCCAGTCCGTCTGTGTTCACCTTGAGTTTTTCAGAATAAATGAGTTTGTGTCGGTGACTCTTTAACCAGAGTCTGGCGCTGTTCAAACTGTTCTAACTTTATTCAAACTTGTGACGACAGTGGACCCAGATTCATGAAGCCACACATTTTTGACGTTTCACAGAGTATTATTATTGATTCTACTCGGGTCACACTCGGGCGACACATTCCTGAGACCTGAGCGTCACAACGTTTGCTTTCAGGGCTAAAAATACGCAGCAGATTAAAATCACGACTAAATATTACCACAAAAGAATAATCCCACATTTATGTTTATTTATTCTGTCATTTATGGTCATTTGGCTGTTTTTAGATTAAGTAGTTTGAAGCCTACAGCAGTAGCAGCAGTAGTAGTAGTACTACTAGTAGTAGTAGTACTACTAGTAGTAGTACTACTAGTAGTAGAAGTAGAAGTAGTATTAGTATTAGTAGTAGTAGAAGTAGTAGTGGTAGTAGTAGTAGAAGTAGCAGTAGTAGTAGTAGTAGCTGTAGTAGTAGTAATAGTAGAAGTAGCAGTAGTAGTAGTAGTAGTAGTAGTAGTAGTAGTAGTAGTAGTAGTAGTAGTAGTAGTAGTAGTAGTAGTAGTAGTGGTAGTAGTAATAGTAGTAGTAGTAGCTGTAGTAGTAGTATTAGTAGAAGTAGTAGTAGTAGTAGTAGTAGTAGTAGTAGTAGCTGTAGTAGTAGAAGTAGTAGTAGCTGTAGTAGTAGTAGTAGTAGTAGTATTAGTAGTAGTAGTAGTAGTAGTGGTAGTAGTAGTAGTAGTAGAAATAGTAGTAGCTGTAGTAGTAGTAGTAGTAGTAGTAGTAGCAGTAGTAGTAGTAGAAGTAGTAGTAGCTGTAGTAGTAGTAGTAGTAGTAGTAGTAGTAGTGGTAGTAGTGGTAGTAGTAGTAGTAGTAGAAATAGTAGTAGCTGTAGTAGTAGTAGTAGTAGTAGTAGTAGTAGAAGTAGTAGTAGCTGTAGTAGTAGTAGTAGTAGTAGTAGTGGTAGTAGTGGTAGTAGTGGTAGTAGTAGTAGTAGTAGAAATAGTAGTAGCTGTAGTAGTAGTAGTAGTAGTAGTGGTAGTAGTAGTAGTAGTAGAAATAGTAGTAGCTGTAGTAGTAGTAGTAGTAGTAGTAGTAGTAGTAGTAGTAGTAGTAGAAATAGTAGTAGTAGTAGAAGTAGTAGTAGCTGTAGTAGTAGTAGAAGTAGTAGTAGCTGTAGTAGTAGTAGTAGTAGTAGTAGTGGTAGTAGTGGTAGTAGTGGTAGTAGTAGAAATAGTAGTAGCTGTAGTAGTAGTAGTAGTAGTAGTAGTAGAAGTAGTAGTAGCTGTAGTAGTAGTAGTAGTAGTAGTAGCTGTAGTAGTAGTAGTAGTAGTAGTAGTGGTAGTAGTGGTAGTAGTGGTAGTAGTGGTAGTAGTAGTAGTAGTAGAAATAGTAGTAGCAATGAACAGGAGAGAGTGAACGTGAGAGAGTGAACACGAGAGAGTGAACGTGAGAGAGTGAACGTGAGAGAGTGAACGTGAGAGAGTGAACGTGAGAGAGTGAACAGGAGAGAGTGAACTGTCTCTCCTCCTGTCTCTCCTCCTGTCTCTGCTCCTCCTGTCTCTCCTCCTGTCTCTCCTCCTGTCTCTGCTCCTCCTGTCTCTGCTCCTCCTGTCTCTCCTCCTGTCTCTCCTCCTGTCTCTGCTCCTCCTGTCTCTCCTCCTGTCTCTCCTCCTGTCTCTGCTCCTCCTGTCTCTGCTCCTCCTGTCTCTCCTCCTGTCTCTCCTCCTGTCTCTGCTCCTCCTGTCTCTCCTCCTGTCTCTCCTCCTGTCTCTGCTCCTGTCTCTGCTCCTATCTCTGCTCCTCCTGTCTCTGCTCCTCCTGTCTCTCCTCCTGTCTCTCCTCCTGTCTCTGCTCCTCCTGTCTCTCCTCCTGTCTCTCCTCCTGTCTCTGCTCCTCCTGTCTCTGCTCCTCCTGTCTCTCCTCCTGTCTCTCCTCCTGTCTCTGCTCCTCCTGTCTCTCCTCCTGTCTCTCCTCCTGTCTCTGCTCCTCCTGTCTCTGCTCCTCCTGTCTCTCCTCCTGTCTCTCCTCCTGTCTCTGCTCCTCCTGTCTCTGCTCCTCCTGTCTCTCCTCCTGTCTCTCCTCCTGTCTCTGCTCCTCCTGTCTCTCCTCCTGTCTCTCCTCCTGTCTCTGCTCCTCCTGTCTCTGCTCCTCCTGTCTCTCCTCCTGTCTCTCCTCCTGTCTCTGCTCCTCCTGTCTCTGCTCCTCCTGTCTCTCCTCCTGTCTCTCCTCCTGTCTCTGCTCCTCCTGTCTCTGCTCCTCCTGTCTCTCCTCCTGTCTCTCCTCCTGTCTCTGCTCCTCCTGTCTCTGCTCCTCCTGTCTCTGCTCCTGTCTCTCCAGTACAGTACTGTATTCAGTACAAACTGATTTCTCCGGAGTTGTCTTACTCTGTTCGGGTGGTGTCCTCCGTGGGGGTGTTGTCCTCCGTGGGGGTGTTGTCCTCCGGGGGGGTGGTGTCCTCCAGGGGGGTCCTGTTGAGGCGACATGCTGCGGTCCATTCACTCAGGGAAGTGCTCAGGGGCAGAGAGGACCACAGCATCCTACTGCAGCAGGAGGAAGTCCAGTTACTGAGAGTTTAGTCCTTAACGTCCCAGAGAGAGGAGGAGCAGGAGGCTCTGAGCCGCACGCGCCGACAGAGGTCTGCACATGCGCACACGGCCTGTAGGGGGCGCCACATCCCCCCCACACACACACACACACTCTGTTTAGCCTCTGTCACGTCTTTACCCCATGGTCTTTACCAGCCTCAGACTGAGAGAAGGACATTACAGTCTATGGTCCTGGTCCTGGTCCTGGTCCTGGTCCTGGTCCTGGTCCAGGTCCTGCTCCTGGTCCTGGTCCAGGTCTTGGTCCAGGTCCAGGTCCAGGTCCAGGTCCTGGTCCAGGTCCAGGTCCAGGTCCTGGTCCAGGTCTTGGTCCAGGTCCAGGTCCAGGTCCAGGTCCTGGTCCAGGTCCAGGTCCTGGTCCAGGTCCAGGTCCAGGTCCAGGTCCAGGTCCAGGTCCAGGTCCAGGTCCAGGTCCAGGTCCAGGTCCAGGTCCAGGTCCAGGTCCAGGTCCAGGTCGAGGTCCAGGTCCTGGTCCTGGTCCTGGTCCTGGTCCTGGTCCAGGTCCAGGTCCAGGTCCAGGTCCAGGTCCAGGTCCAGGTCCAGGTCCTGGGCCAGGTCCTGGTCCTGGTCCTGGTCCTGGTCCTGGTCCTGGTCCTGGTCCAGGTCCTGGTCCTGGTCCTGGTCCTGGTCCTGGTCCTGGTCCAGGTCTTGGTCCAGGTCCAGGTCCAGGTCCAGGTCCTGGTCCAGGTCCAGGTCCAGGTCCAGGTCCAGGTCTTGGTCCAGGTCCAGGTCCAGGTCCAGGTCCTGGTCCAGGTCCAGGTCCAGGTCCAGGTCCAGGTCCAGGTCGAGGTCCAGGTCCTGGTCCTGGTCCTGGTCCTGGTCCTGGTCCAGGTCTTGGTCCAGGTCCAGGTCCAGGTCCAGGTCCAGGTCCAGGTCCAGGTCGAGGTCGAGGTCCAGGTCCTGATCCTGGTCCTGGTCCTGGTCCTGGTCCTGGTCCAGGTCCAGGTCCAGGTCCAGGTCCAGGACCAGGACCAGGACCTGGCCCAGGACCTGGACCTGGACCTGGACCTGGACCTGGACCTGGACCTGGACCAGGACCAGGACCAGGACCAGGACCAGGATCAGGACCTGGACCTCGACCTCGACCTGGACCTGGACCTGGACCTGGACCTGGACCTGGACCTGGACCAAGACCTGGACCAGGACCAGGACCAGGACCAGGACCAGGACCTGGACCTCGACCTGGACCTGGACCTGGACCTGGACCTGGACCTGGACCAGGACCTGGACCTGGACCTGGACCTGGACCTGGTCCAGGTCCAGGTCCTGGTCCTGGTCCTGGTCCTGGTCCTGGTCCAGGTCCTGGTCCAGGTCCAGGTCCAGGTCCAGGTCCTGGTCCAGGTCCAGGTCCAGGTCCAGGTCCAGATCCAGGTCCAGGTCCTGGTCCAGGTCCAGGTCCAGGTCCAGGTCCAGGTCCAGGTCCAGGTCCAGGTCCTGGTCCTGGTCCTGGTCCTGGTCCTGGTCCTGGTCCTGGTCCTGGTCCAGGTCCTGGTCCTGGTCCTGGTCCAGGTCCAGGTCTTGGTCCAGGTCCAGGTCCAGGTCCTGGTCCAGGTCCTGGTCCTGGTCCACAGAAATGGATCAAAATAAAGCTGATTCTCCTGATTTCACACTTTGTGGAAGAATCGGGACCAGTTCTAAAAACATCTCTTTCTAAAATGTTTAACTAACACTTTTTTAGTTAAACAAACGTTCAGTAAAGACAATAAAGTTCCTCTGTTTATAAGAAGTTATGACAATGTAGACTTTGACTTAGTTTTTAATATATGATGTTATTATTATTATGTTTAACATTTACAGAAACAACAGGAGAGTTCGAGATGATCCGATGTTTAAGGACTTTAACTTTTCTTTTTAGACCAACAGTTGTTTGAACTATTCTTTGACCTGAATCTGTTTTATTTCAGGATCATATTTTAGTGACGCCTCAGACTTTGATAAAAACAGATGTGGCCGTGTTTCCAACTCTCAGATCTAATGATTCAATATTTTTGGGTTAATGGATTCTGCTGGAGGCTGATGTGAGACTGGAGCAGACAAGTAGGCCAAGCTAATGCTAATGCTAATGTGTCAAACTGCGCTGGTTCAGCAGGATTCTCACCGACACAAGTGCGACAAAGTGCTAGAAAGTGCTTGCCCAAGGACACAACACAGTCTGTGACTCTGAGGCTGAACTATCCTTTTTTCTCTACAATGGGGTCAAAACTTTAAAAAATTTAAATTGAAAAAACTGCCTCTTATCAACACGCTGCCCTCAGAAAGATCCCTGTGAGAGTACAAAGACTCTTATTTACCTGAGAGTATAGTTACAGATTACTCATTTACCTGAGAGTATAGTTACAGATTACTTATTTACCTGAGAGTATAGTTACAGATTACTTATTTACCTGAGAGTATAGTTACAGATTACTTATTTACCTGAGAGTATAGTTACAGATTACTTATTTACCTGAGAGTATAGTTACAGATTACTTATTTACCTGAGAGTATAGTCACAGATTACTCATTTACCTGAGAGTATAGTCACAGATTACTTATTTACCTGAGAGTATAGTTACAGATTACTTATTTACCTGAGAGTATAGTTACAGATTACTTATTTACTGTGAGAGTATAGTTACAGATTACTTATTTACCTGAGAGTATAGTTACAGATTACTTATTTACTGTGAGAGTATAGTTACAGATTACTTATTTACCTGAGAGTATAGTTATACAGATTACTTATTTACCTGAGAGTATAGTTACACATTACTTATTTACCTGAGAGTATAGTTACAGATTACTTATTTACCTGAGAGTATAGTTACACATTACTTATTTACCTGAGAGTATAGTTACAGATTACTTATTTACCTGAGAGTATAGTTACACATTACTTATTTACCTGAGAGTATAGTTACAGATTACTTATTTACCTGAGAGTATAGTTACAGATTACTTATTTACCTGAGAGTATAGTTACAGATTACTTATTTACCTGAGAGTATAGTTACAGATTACTTATTTACTGTGAGAGTATAGTTACAGATTACTCATTTACCTGAGAGTATAGTTACAGATTACTTATTTACCTGAGAGTATAGTTACAGATTACTTATTTACCTGAGAGTATAGTTACAGATTACTTATTTACCTGAGAGTATAGTTACAGATTACTTATTTACCTGAGAGTATAGTTACAGATTACTTATTTACCTGAGAGTATAGTTACAGATTACTTATTTACCTGAGAGTATAGTCACAGATTACTTATTTACCTGAGAGTATAGTTACAGATTACTTATTTACCTGAGAGTATAGTTACAGATTACTTATTTACCTGAGAGTATAGTTACAGATTACTCATTTACCTGAGAGTATAGTTACAGTTTACTTATTTACCTGAGAGTATAGTTACAGATTACTTATTTACCTGAGAGTATAGTTACAGATTACTTATTTACCTGAGAGTATAGTTACAGATTACTTATTTACCTGAGAGTATAGTTACAGATTACTTATTTACCTGAGAGTATAGTCACAGATTACTTATTTACCTGAGAGTATAGTTACAGATTACTTATTTACCTGAGAGTATAGTTACAGATTACTTATTTACCTGAGAGTATAGTTACAGATTACTTATTTACCCGAGAGTATAGTTACAGATTACTTATTTACTGTGAGAGTATAGTTACAGATTACTTATTTACCTGAGAGTATAGTTACAGATTACTCATTTACCTGAGAGTATAGTCACAGATTACTTATTTACCTGAGAGTATAGTTACAGATTACTTATTTACCTGAGAGTATAGTTACAGATTACTTATTTACTGTGAGAGTATAGTTACAGATTACTTATTTACCTGAGAGTATAGTTACAGATTACTTATTTACCTGAGAGTATAGTTACAGATTACTTATTTACTGTGAGAGTATAGTTACAGATTACTCATTTACCTGAGAGTATAGTTACAGATTACTTATTTACCTGAGAGTATAGTTACAGATTACTTATTTACCTGAGAGTATAGTTACAGATTACTTATTTACCTGAGAGTATAGTTACAGATTACTTATTTACCTGAGAGTATAGTTACAGATTACTTATTTACCTGAGAGTATAGTTACAGATTACTTATTTACCTGAGAGTATAGTCACAGATTACTTATTTACCTGAGAGTATAGTTACAGATTACTTATTTACCTGAGAGTATAGTTACAGATTACTTATTTACCTGAGAGTATAGTTACAGATTACTCATTTACCTGAGAGTATAGTTACAGTTTACTTATTTACCTGAGAGTATAGTTACAGATTACTTATTTACCTGAGAGTATAGTTACAGATTACTTATTTACCTGAGAGTATAGTTACAGATTACTTATTTACCTGAGAGTATAGTTACAGATTACTTATTTACCTGAGAGTATAGTCACAGATTACTTATTTACCTGAGAGTATAGTTACAGATTACTTATTTACCTGAGAGTATAGTTACAGATTACTTATTTACCTGAGAGTATAGTTACAGATTACTTATTTACCCGAGAGTATAGTTACAGATTACTTATTTACTGTGAGAGTATAGTTACAGATTACTTATTTACCTGAGAGTATAGTTACAGATTACTCATTTACCTGAGAGTATAGTCACAGATTACTTATTTACCTGAGAGTATAGTTACAGATTACTTATTTACCTGAGAGTATAGTTACAGATTACTTATTTACTGTGAGAGTATAGTTACAGATTACTTATTTACCTGAGAGTATAGTTACAGATTACTTATTTACCTGAGAGTATAGTTACAGATTACTTATTTACCTGAGAGTATAGTTACAGATTACTTATTTACCTGAGAGTATAGTTACAGATTACTTATTTACTGTGAGAGTATAGTTACAGATTACTCATTTACCTGAGAGTATAGTTACAGATTACTTATTTACCTGAGAGTATAGTCACACATTACTTATTTACCTGAGAGTATAGTTACAGATTACTTATTTACCTGAGAGTATAGTTACAGATTACTTATTTACCTGAGAGTATAGTTACAGATTACTTATTTACCTGAGAGTATAGTTACAGATTACTTATTTACCTGAGAGTATAGTCACAGATTACTTATTTACCTGAGAGTATAGTTACAGATTACTTATTTACCTGAGAGTATAGTTACAGATTACTTATTTACCTGAGAGTATAGTTACATATTACTTATTTACCTGAGAGTATAGTTACAGATTACTTATTTACTGTGAGAGTATAGTTACAGATTACTTATTTACCTGAGAGTATAGTTACAGATTACTCATTTACCTGAGAGTATAGTTACAGATTACTTATTTACCTGAGAGTATAGTCACAGATTACTTATTTACCTGAGAGTATAGTTACAGATTACTTATTTACCTGAGAGTATAGTTACAGATTACTTATTTACCTGAGAGTATAGTTACAGATTACTTATTTACCTGAGAGTATAGTTACAGATTACTTATTTACCTGAGAGTATAGTTACAGATTACTCATTTGCCTGAGAGTATAGTCACAGATTACTTATTTACCTGAGAGTATAGTTACAGATTACTTATTTACCTGAGAGTATAGTTACAGATTACTCATTTGCCTGAGAGTATAGTCACAGATTACTTATTTACCTGAGAGTATAGTTACAGATTACTTATTTACCTGAGAGTATAGTTACAGATTACTTATTTACCTGAGAGTATAGTTACAGATTACTTATTTACCTGAGAGTATAGTTACAGATTACTCATTTACCTGAGAGTATATTTACAGATTACTTATTTACCTGAGAGTATAGTTACAGATTACTTATTTACCTGAGAGTATAGTTACAAGATTACTTATTTACCTGAGAGTATAGTCACAGATTACTTATTTACCTGAGAGTATAGTCACAGATTACTTATTTACCTGAGAGTATAGTCACAGATTACTTATTTACCTGAGAGTATAGTTACAGATTACTTATTTACCTGAGAGTATAGTTACAGATTACTGATTTACCTGAGAGTATAGTTACAGATTACTTATTTACCTGAGAGTATAGTTACAGATTAGTTATTTACCTGAGAGTATAGTTACAGATTACTTATTTACCTGAGAGTATAGTTACAGATTACTTATTTACCTGAGAGTATAGTTACAGATTACTTATTTACCTGAGAGTATAGTCACAGATTACTTATTTACCTGAGAGTATAGTCACAGATTACTTATTTACCTGAGAGTATAGTCACAGATTACTTATTTACCTGAGAGTATAGTTACAGATTACTTATTTACCTGAGAGTATAGTTACAGATTACTGATTTACCTGAGAGTATAGTTACAGATTACTTATTTACCTGAGAGTATAGTTACAGATTAGTTATTTACCTGAGAGTATAGTTACAGATTACTTATTTACCTGAGAGTATAGTTACAGATTAGTTATTTACCTGAGAGTATAGTTACAGATTACTTATTTACTGTGAGAGTATAGTTACAGATTACTTATTTACTGTGAGAGTATAGTTACAGATTACTTATTTACCTGAGAGTATAGTTACAGATTACTCATTTGCCTGAGAGTATAGTCACAGATTACTTATTTACCTGAGAGTATAGTTACAGATTACTTATTTACCTGAGAGTATAGTTACAGATTACTTATTTACCTGAGAGTATAGTTACAGATTACTTATTTACCTGAGAGTATAGTTACAGATTACTTATTTACCTGAGAGTATAGTCACAGATTACAGATAAAGATACTTCTGTGTTAATCTGGGTTAAATAATCTCACTTTGGCTCGTGCACAAAGGTCTTTGCTTATTTAAAACCACGTCTTACACGTCACATACTTGTGTGATGCATCATTTTAAAGCTAGAGTCTTCTAGTTTATGTAAAAAAATACTAAAATAATGTTTGTCATTCCTATTTCCCTCTGCATCCTTTGAAGTTTGGGTAAAAAAACAATTTTTTTAGCCCCGCCTAAAATGTTAAATGTCTAAAGGCCCTAACAAAGACATACTTCATTTTAAGTTCACAATATTCAAACCCTGTGGTCATTGTGTTGTTGACAACAACTGTCTAAAGTTTCAGACTTCTAAGTTTTATAGTTTTTATGCAGTTTCTCCTTTTCATCAAGTTGTGCCAAATTGCTTTACTGACATTTCATCCTCATAAAAACCATATTTTTTATTTTTGATACTTTTGAGTTACTAATCTGTGTGATTTTTTTTTTTTTAATTCAAAGTAATTTTTTTATGAGTGTAAAATCATTGCTGCTCCGTCAGCGCCAAGCCCCAGCGATCCAAGATGGCGCCCTATTCAAATGAATGTTTGTGCTTGTCACTCCCGTATTCGTCCCGGAAGTTCAGTTTGCGCATGTCAAAAAGGTGGTCTGAGTAAGATGGTTAAGGTTAGGGTTAAGGTGGTCTGAGTAAGATGGTTAAGGTTAGGGTTAAGGTGGTCTGAGTAAGATGGTTAAGGCTAGGGTTAAGGTGGTCTGAGTAAGATGGTTATGGTTAAGGTTAAGGTGGTCTGAGTAAGATGGTTAAGGTTGGGGTTAAGGTGGTCTGAGTAAGATGGTTAAGGTTAGGGTTAAGGTGGGTCTGAGTAAGATGGTTAAGGTTAGGGTTAAGGTGGTCTGAGTAAGATGGTTAAGGTGGTCTGAGTAAGATGGTTAAGGTGGTCTGAGTAAGATGGTTAAGGTTAGGGTTAAGGTGGTCTGAGTAAGATGGTTAAGGTTAGGGTTAAGGTGGTCTGAGTAAGATGGTTAAGGTTAGGGTTAAGGTGGTCTGAGTAAGATGGTTAGGGTTAGGGTTAAGGTGGTCTGAGTAAGATGGTTAAGGTTAGGGTTAAGGTGGTCTGAGTAAGATGGTTAAGGTTAGGGTTAAGGTGGTCTGAGTAAGATGGTTAAGGTTAGGGTTAAGGTGGGTCTGAGTAAGATGGTTAAGGTTAGGGTTAAGGTGGTCTGAGTAAGATGGTTAAGGTTAGGGTTAAGGTGGTCTGAGTAAGATGGTTAAGGTTAGGGTTAAGGTGGTCTGAGTAAGATGGTTAAGGTTAGGGTTAAGGTGGGTCTGAGTAAGAGATGGTTAAGGTTAGGGTTAAGGTGGTCTGAGTAAGATGGTTAAGGTTAGGGTTAAGGTGGTCTGAGTAAGATAGTTAAGGTTAGGGTTAAGGTGGGTTGGGGTTATTTTATGGGAATGGCTGGTTAAGTTTAGGCATAAATAGGTAGTTTTTTATATTTACTTCCGCTTCCGTCCAGATTCCGCTGGACGGAAGCTCAGTCCGCTAATGTCCCCGTGACCACTTTGCTGCTCTTTTGGTGCTTTCAGACCGGATCATGCGTGGGTTAGGAAATACTGTTTAATAATATGAAAAAACGTATGACGCACCTCCGTGAACACATACTGCTGTTATATAAAGTCACCTCCGTGAACACATACTGCTGTTATATAAAGTCACCGTGAACACATACTGCTGTTATATAAAGTCACCTCCGTGAACACATACTGCTGTTATATAAAGTCACCTCCGTGAACACATACTGCTTGTTACGTGCATCAGAGTTGCCTTTCCCTGTGTGCTGCTGTTCTCTCCCTTCTGCTTCTGTGTGAAGGTGCTGTGGGCAAGCCCTGGAGGAGGATGGTGCATGATTGGTGGAGTGGAGGCAAATTGGAGAGTATTTAAACGGGGAGTGTCTTGGGCGGCTCTCTCTCTCTCAGGTGCCAGAAGCTGCCAGGTGGTAGCCTAATTTGTTTCTGTGTGGAGGTTTGGTTAGGTGAGTTTGGTGCTAAGTTACATTTACAACACGTAGATACCTTTGTTAGATTCCCTAGCTTATCAGTTGTGACCACCCTTGTTGTTTTGAGTTCTACTCCACTTTTCTTTAGATAAAACAGAATAGACATTTTCTATTTCATTTTTTATTAGACTAGCCTGTGAGTTAGGCCTCTTTTGTTATATTTTACTTTTGTTCTTTTGGCACAACTGGGCGACGCCACTCCTCCCACCACTGTTATTTCTTTTTAGTTTGGCTCTTAAATAAAGACATTGCCAAACTCCTTAAGTGACTCTGTGTTTCAATGATTGTTTCACATATCCCTGTTATGACTGGTGTGGGTCCTTAACTGGTCATAACACTGCTGTTATATAAAGTCACCTCCGTGAACACATACTGCTGTTATATAAAGTCACCTCCTTGAACACATACTGCTGTTATATAAAGTCACCTCCGTGAACACATACTGCTGTTATATAAAGTCACCTCCGTGAACACATACTGCTGTTATATAAAGTCACCTCCGTGAACACATACTGCTGTTATATAAAGTCACCTCCGTGAACACATACTGCTGTTATATAAAGTCACCTCCTTGAACACATACTGCTGTTATATAAAGTCACCTCCGTGAACACATACTGCTGTTATATAAAGTCACCTCCGTGAACACATACTGCTGTTATATAAAGTCACCTCCGTGAACACATACTGCTGTTATATAAAGTCACCTCCGTGAACACATACTGCTGTTATATAAAGTCACCTCCGTGAACACATACTGCTGTTATATAAAGTCACCTCCGTGAACACATACTGCTGTTATATAAAGTCACCTCCGTGAATGGAAGGTGTCATTTGAAAGATAAGGAGCAGCTGAACACGTGGATACCAAATGTTTGGGTGAAAAACAAAGCTAAAAGTCTTTACAGTGAAACAACAGCCTCTGTGCTCTTTCTTTCCCGCTAAAAATAAATGCACATTTTTGGATTATTTCTCCAGAATGAATACTTTGGGAAATACAAGTGGATATAATTGTTAAATGGACTGTTCCAGAGAGAAAGAGCCACAGGAAGCCGGGAGGAGAGCTGATTTATTTATGCAGCACAAGCCCAAAGGTCAAAAACTTTTTCTTTAGTGACTTATTTTGTGCCCCCATTATGTGTTATATCTTTTGAATGCAAAGTCTGATGTAGTTTACACTTGTATAGAAATGTAGATAAGAAAATAAGCTTTAAAATGATATACAACAAGATTCTGAGTTCATGAGGAGAATGGTTTCATTACTAATTACAGAAGCAAAAGGGTTAGCAATCATGGGAGGGGATTTTAATATGGCAATGTCTACTAAAGATACTCAAAGTAAAGGGAAACCGCTACATTATTAAAAAAGATAGAAAAGGAATTATGGAGGCATCTTAATCCTCATGAAAGAAAATATACCTTCTATTCCGATGCACATAAGATTTATTCCCGGTTGGATTATTTTTTTATGTTTAAGGAAGACAGTGTGAAATAAGACCCATAATACTGGGGGACCATGCTCCAATTACGTTAACCATTTCTTTGGGAAATGGGAAAGTAAGAACACTATGGAGATTGAATAATTCTTTACTCCAGGACGAACATTTTAAAGACAGAATTCAACAAATTATAGAAGCCTTCTTTCAAAATAATGACAAAGAGGAGATAACACCAGTTATACTGTGGGAAGCCGCAAAAGTGACCATACGTGGTGAAATAATATCCCTCACTTCTTGGAGAAAGAAAATGTATCTGCAAGAGATGAATGCTGTAAAAAGTGAAATAGAACGATTGCAACAGGAGCATGAACAGACAGGAAACTATCAAATTAAGAAAAAGTTAATTGAAAAACAAAATAAATTGAATGAAATTTTGACAGAAGAAATAGTCAAATCTCTTGCACTTACCAAACAACAATTTTATTATAACAGTCCTAAAGCTTTAAAACTTTTAGCATTTAAATTGAAAAAACAAAGAGAACAGGCAAGGCCAGTTTATTTGTATAGCACAATTCATACACAAGGCAACTCAAAGTGCTGAAGATCAGATTCATTTATTTGCCATTTGCAGTAAAACCACATTGGAAAAACTGTGCAAGACTACCCCGGTGTGCACCAGACAGAGGAGACGACACACACCAGAGCTCTTGCCACGGCGCCATCTTTACGGCGCCATGCGACAACAAGAAAGCATTAAAATCATAAATTATCACAGAACATTAAAACGAAAGATAAAAATATAAAATCCCTCAGTTGTAGCACAGCTAAACAGAACCGTCTTTAACCTGGTTTTAAACATTGTCAGAGAGGAGGCCTGTCTCACATCTTCAGGAAGACTGTTCCAGATTTTAGCAGCATGAATCTGAAAAGCAGCCTCCCCATGTTTAGTTCTGACTCTGGGCACTAACAGGAGTCCAGTCCCTGTGCTCCTCAGAGTCCCAGCAGGAGTCCAGTCCCTGTGCTCCTCAGAGTCCCAGCAGGAGTCCAGTCCCTGTGCTCCTCAGAGTCCCAGCAGGAGTCCAGTCCCTGTGCTCCTCAGAGTCCCAGCAGGAGTCCAGTCCCTGTGCTCCTCAGAGTCCCAGCAGGAGGCCAGTCCCTGTGCTCCTCAGAGTCCCAGCAGGAGTCCAGTCCCTGTGCTCCTCAGAGTCCCAGCAGGAGTCCAGTCCCTGTGCTCCTCAGAGTCCCAGCAGGAGTCCAGTCCCTGTGCTCCTCAGAGTCCCAGCAGGAGCCAGTCCCTGTGCTCCTCAGAGTCCCAGCAGGAGTCCAGTCCCTGTGCTCCTCAGAGTCCCAGCAGGAGTCCAGTCCCTGTGCTCCTCAGAGTCCCAGCAGGAGGCCAGTCCCTGTGCTCCTCAGAGTCCCAGCAGGAGTCCAGTCCCTGTGCTCCTCAGAGTCCCAGCAGGAGCCAGTCCCTGTGCTCCTCAGAGTCCCAGCAGGAGTCCAGTCCCTGTGCTCCTCAGAGTCCGGGCTGGTTCATATGGGACTAACATGTCACTAATATATTTTGGTGCGAGGCCATGGAGAGACTTGTAACAAGCAAAGCTGTTTTAAAGTCTATTCTCTGAGCCACAGGAAGCCAGTGCAGAGACCTGAGGACTGGACTAATGTGGTCGTACTTCCTGGTTCTAGTCAGGACTAATGTGGTCGTACTTCCTGGTTCTAGTCAGGACTAATGTGGTCGTACTTCCTGGTTCTAGTCAGGACTAATGTGGTCGTACTTCCTGGTTCTAGTCAGGACTATTGTGGACTAGGCAACCATTTCAAATATTCTAGGAAATGCTTCTAACTATCATACAGAGAAAAATGAAATCACAGAATGTTTCCTCAAGTACTATAACGAGCTATATGAACCTCAGAACAAAACGCAGAACTTATAAAACCAGTGACTAAACAAGAAGTCCTGGCTGCTATACAGAAGAGCAAGGTGGATACGAGTCCAGGAAGTGACGGATACACTAATGAATTTTACAAATATTTTAACCAATTACTAGTACCAATTCTATGTAGGTTGTTTAACTGGATAATCGTAAAAGCTGTTTGGCCCCCACATGGAACGATTCAATAATTAGTGTTCTTCCAAAAGAAGGCAAAGACCTAACTAAATGTAGTTCATACAGACCAGTGTCTTTATTAAATGTGGACCAAAACATATTTACATCTATTATGGCTAACAAACTATCAATAATAGTTCCACATTTGATAAATAAAGATCAAACCGGTTTTGTGCAGGGAAGATTGTTGTCAGACAATGTGAGGAGGATTCTGGGCAGAGAAACACAGCAGCAGGCTCTAATGCTGACATTAGACATTAGCTTTTGGTTTCCATGATTATTTTATAAATGTTCTGAGAGTGATGTGTAAGAATCCTCAAGCAGCTGTAAAAGTAAATGGAGCATTGTCGAGGACGTTTAGCCTGCACCGCTGGTTTATGAACTACTGTACAGAGCCTTTAGCAGAAGACCAAATAAGAACATATGTGGGATTAGCCTGGGGGGTTATGAATACAAATTAGCGATGTATGCAGACGATGTGATGGTGACAATGTTGGAAGTTGGGAAATCTTTGGATAATTTAATGGAAGAAATACAAATATATAGTCAACACTCCGGGTACAAGTTAAACGCACAAAAAACAGAGGCTATGGTGATAGGAGAGGTGGATCATGAAATGAAGAGTACATTTAATTTTAAATGGGACTGTGACCGTGTAAAGTACCTGGGGGTATATATACCAAAAAGCATGGGTAAACTTTTTGAAATTAACTGTTATAGAAATATTTTAGTAAAGCAATCTGAATTAACACCCAATAGTTGTGAGTGTAAGTTATTAACAGTGAACTCTGGATTCAGACACAGGCCATAATGCTCTGTTGGCTCAGGTCAGTGATAGATGGAGATTCAGATACAGGCCATAATGCTCTGTTGGCTCAGGTCAGTGATAGATGGAGATTCAGATACAGGCCATAATGCTCTGTTGGCTCAGGTCAGTGATAGATGGAGATTCAGATACAGGCCATAATGCTCTGTTGGCTCAGGTCAGTGATAGATGGAGATTCAGATACAGGCCATAATGCTCTGTTGGCTCAGGTCAGTGATAGATGGAGATTCAGATACAGGCCATAATGCTCTGTTGGCTCAGGTCAGTGATAGATGGAGATTCAGATACAGGCCATAATGCTCTGTTGGCTCAGGTCAGTGATAGATGGAGATTCAGATACAGGCCATAATGCTCTGTTGGCTCAGGTCAGTGATAGATGGAGATTCAGATACAGACCATAATGCTCTGTTGGCTCAGGTCAGTGATAGATGGAGATTCAGATACAGACCATAATGCTCTGTTGGCTCAGGTCAGTG